GCTGCTGCTGCTGCTGTTGCAGCTTCTGTTGAAAGCTGTTGCTGCATCTTTTGCTGCTACAGCTGTTGCTGCTGTAGCTTTCCTTAAAGCTGCTGCTGCTGCTGTTGCTGCAGCAGTTGCTGCTGCTGCAGCCTTAATTAAACTCTTTTGCTGCAGCAGTTGCTGCTGCAGCTTTAATTAAACTCTTTTGCTGCAGCAGTTGCTGCTGCAGCAGTTGCTCTTTATCCAGCTTCTGTTTCAAAGCTGTTGTTGCAGCTGTTGCTGCTACTGCTGTTGTTTCTGCTGCAGCTTTTGCTGCAGCTGCTGTTGCAGCTGTTGCTGCTGCAGCTATCCCTGCTGCAGCCGTCTGTGCTGCATCTGTTGGTGCTGCAGTTCTTGCTGCTGCAGCTGTTGGTTCTGGAGCGGTTGCTGCTGCAGCTGTTGCAGCTGCAGCTGTTGCTGCTGCAGCTATTGCTGCTGCAGCTGTTCGTGCTGCTGTTGCTGCTGCTGCAGCTAGCTGCAGCATTCTCTTTTGTCTGCTGCAGTGTCTGTGGAGGCGNGTGCTGCTGTTGCTGCTGCTGCAGCTAGCTGCAGCATTCTCTTTTGTCTGCTGCAGTGTCTGTGGAGGCGGCGATGATTTGTATGGGTCTTGTTTTTGAGAGGCCGCCTTTTGCTGCTGCAGCAGCAGCAGCAGCAGCAGCACCAGGGGGAGGAGAAGGAGCACCAGCAGGAATAGAAACAATATCACCGATTGCTGCTGCTGCTGTGTGCTGCCGCAGCGCAGCAAGACATGAAGCAGCAGCAGCAGCAGGAACAGCAGCAAGAAGACCGCCGCTTGTTTGGGGGTCAAACAGCAAAGGGAAAACCAGAGAGGGATCGGGGCAGGTGCTGCAGCAGCAGCAGCTGATGCTTCCTTCTCTATCGTTGCTGCTGCTGCAGCAGCTGCTGCTGCTGCTGCTGTTGCTGCAGCTGCTGCTGTTGTTGTTGCTGCAGTTGTTTTTCACAGCTGTCCCCTCTCTAGCTAGTTGCTGCTGCTGCTGCTGCGGGTATAGATTTGGAGGCAATGGGGCCCTGCAGCAGCAGGATCCTCGTAGCTGCTGCTGCAGCAGCTGCAGCAGCAGTCTTTCATTCCCCTGCTGCTGCTGCTGCGCCGGTGCTAGGCCCCTGGCGTTGCCGAGGTGTAGAGACACCAGAGGGGCCTCAACCCCCACCTCTGCTTCTGATGATACTAGCAGCCGCTTCACTGCTGCTGCTGCGTTTTCTATAAACAGAGATGCATGCAGCCTGCAGCGCGTGAGCTCAGCAGCACCAGGCAGCAGCGGGATACGGCTTAGCCATACACGTGCACCCAGCAGCNGCAGCGCGTGAGCTCAGCAGCACCAGGCAGCAGCGGGATACGGCTTAGCCATACACGTGCACCCAGCAGCTGACCCCCTGCTGCTGCTGTTGCTGCTCCTGCTGCTGCTGCTGCTCCTGCTGCTGCTGTTGCTGCTGACGGAGCACCTCCTGCTGCTGCTGCTGCTGCTGCTGCTGCTGCTGCTGTGCTGCTAGCCCGGCTCTCCTTCGCCAGCGCCTTGTTAGATGTATCCAACACTTCTAGCAAGTGACCCACCAACCCGAAACCTGCAGCAGCAGCAGCAGCAACAGCAGCAGCAGCAGCAGCAGCAGCAGCAGCGAAATGCAACCGTGTGTAAGCGAGTGTCCCCTGATGGAGCGGGAAACTACCGCCAGCAGCAGCAGCAGCAGCAGCAGCAGCAGCAACAGCAGCAGCAGCAACAGCAG